TCTCTCCTGCCTCTCTCTCTCTGTCAAATAAATAAATAAAATCTTAAAAAAAAATAGAAGTTATATAGAGAAGGGGCTACTACTGGTTTAGTATCTATTGACCAAATGTATATAATAATTTCTAGAAAAAAATAGATTATTTGAATATTCTAGTAGAATAATGGACTTCTTGGCATTACTTCAGATATTTTTATTTGAAAATCTAGCATTATAAAGAATAATAATTTTCCCTTTTCTACTATGTATATAATTAGAGCACATAGCATGAATAAAGGAACGGAATTGTCTAGTGTGGGATACCTTTCTCAGAATAGATAAATACTGATTTTTTTCTGTTAAACATTTAACCAGGAATAGAAATCCTTCATTAACATAAATAATATATTTCATTAATTTACTTAAAAATGCCAACAGTTATATCACTAGTAGTGCCTAATGTTTAAAAAAATCAGATACCATTAATTTCTACCTAATTTAATTTTATCAACTTGTGAAATGAACTTTTTATTTTATCTCATTTATGATGTAGCAAAGGGAATTATCCATCATTTTATTGTGAAGTATAACTTTAGACTCTTGTCCAGATTCAGTGAAAGAACACCTGTAAATTCTGAGAATAAATGTAATTTCTTTCCATTGCAACCATAACACATTTTATTAGCTTGCTAAGTCTCCTCTACCAATGTACCACAAGCTGAGTAGCTTAAACAACAAAAATATTTGTCTCCCTGTTCCAAAAGCTAGAAGTCAGCAGGGTCATGTTCCCTCCTCAAGTACTGGAAAAGGGTCTGTCCCAAGCCTCTGCTTTAGCTTATAGTAGTTTGTTGGCCATTTTTGACTTTCCCTGGTTTGTAGAGGAAATTCTCTGATCTCTGTCTTCATCTACTCATAAAGTATTCTGTGTGTGTATGTGTGTGTATGTGTGTTTCCAAATTTCCTATTTTTATAAGGATACCAGGCATGTTAGAGTAGGGGCCCACACTACTCCAGTTTGACCTTATCTTAATTAATTACAACTACAATGATCCTATTTCCAAATAAGATCACCTTGATGTACTGGAGTCTAGATCTTCAACACATGAACTATGAGGGGAAACAATTCAACCCCTAACACATACCCTGAAGAGTTCTATTTTCTTATTATCTATTTTTAATGGGAAAAAAAAGCCTTTTTTTTCCTAATGTAAAAGAACTTCTAAAAAGCACCAATGTTTCTTAAAATGTTGCCATCGAGGCTTTAAGTCAATAAGAACGTAAGACATGTGTATATTTTTTCTTTTGGCCTGAAACCCCCTTACCAATTCTCCTGGGTAAGAAATCCTGAAACAGTTGGCCAGGGGACTTATTTGCCATCCCTGCTCTTTATTTTCACCCTACCGTGTTCAAGGGCCAGGCTGACTTTCGGTTAGGCTGTGCTGTACTTTTGTGCATGCTCCCTTCAACCAGCCATCTGTGTGCTCCAAGCTGTGACCTGAGCCCTTCAGATGCCACCAAAGTAGAGTGCTAGAGATATTTGCTCTACCTTACTTCACACAAACAAATAGAATTGCCAAATACTTGTGAGACCTACTATAGAGAGATGTGTAACTGTTAGTGACCGTACATTTTGACCAGGGTAGAGAGTTAATATATTTCCTTTTTCTCTCCTGGATCCCTTTTCTGCTCACTTCTCTGTGCTACTTTAAACCGTCGCTTAGTCAACATCAAGAGGCTACTTTTTCTTTGCTTCTTTTCATTTTCTCGTTGTTCTTCATTTCACTTGTCACTCCATTCATGCCTTTCAGCTTTCACTTAACAAGGCTGGACTTTTATAGACACTTTAAGCCAAGCAGAACAATTATTTATTTATTTATTTATTTATTTATTTAGTAATGTGATCCAGCCCTATTGCCACAAAGGAGGTGTGATCTTGCACTCTTTGTCTTTCTCAGATTCCTCTATGGAATGGTTGGTTGGGGACTATTTTCAAGACGTTAAAAATAATTTAAACCTAAATAACTGTCACAAAGCCAGAGAAAATGTTAAAATCTGACCATTTTACAAGTGTGGCTCCTTAAAAGATGACAATTATTTTATTGCTTTATATCTGTACTGTTCTCTCTTTCCTGAATCTCAGTAATCCTTGTATAAGCCCAGTACGATCAGCAATTTTCCAATCAGATCAAAGATTTGACTGATATCATTTTATAACACTTTATAAAGTATTATAAAGGACTGTTTATAATTTAAATTTTGAATGTAAAGAACACATAGATTTTTATTTAAAAGTACTAACTATATTAGAATCAAGTACAGAACCTAACCTTTTATTGGTATAGGTCCATATTGTGTATTTAGCCACAATATGGACTTCTTACACTTTTTAGAGCTTTGTCTGGGCACCTACTACAGATTTAATTTTTCTTTCAATGTGCAATCAACAAAAATGCCTCCTAAACCAACTTTTATTTGTAGATGTGTATCTACTGATATTCTCTGAACAGGTTGGAGAGATGAATGCGAGGCATGGAACAAGTGTTTTGACATCACAGAAAAAGTCCTTGGAACTTTGTTTTATAAACATAACAATAATTATACCTAGGAGTGTAATTTAACTAACTCTGCAAAATTTAATCAAGCCAGAAAGTGTAGTGCATTATATAATGAGAAAAATCATGGTACACACACAAGCCTAAATTAGGCTCTCTCAGAATGGAGTATCAGTGAGGCAAGAAAACATTTTTGTTTTTTACTTAAACTTTTAATTTTGAGATCACAGATTCACATGCAGTCATGAGAAATGATATGGAGGGATTCTTTGTATCCTTACCCCATTTTTCTCCATGGTAACATCTTACGTAATTATCATCTTGCCAAAACTATAAAAAATATCTTAGGCAGGATCAAAATTATTTAATCTACCAATCTTATTTAGATTTCCCTAGTTTTACTTGTGTGTGTGTGTGTTTAGTTCTATGTGATTTATCACAGGTGTATGTTCATGTATCCCATACCATAATCAAAACACTGAACAGTTCTAACATCATGAGGACTTCATGTTGCTTTTTTATAACCAGCCTCCCCTAACTCTACCTCCTTTCCTTCAACCTGGCAACCACAAATCTGTTATCAATTTCTAAAATGTCATCATTTCAAGAATGTTAAATAAATAGAATCATAGAATATATCACCTTTTGGGACTGTTTTTTTTCTCCACTGGGGTATAATTCCCTGAAGATTCATACAAATTGCTGCATGTATCAAAAGGCTGTTATTTTTATTGCTGAGTAGTATTCCATACTATCAACTACCACAGTCTTTTTAACCATTTTCCCAGTAAAGTACATCTGAGTCGTTTCTAGTTTGGGGCTACTACAAATAATGCTGCTGTGAATATTTATGAATTTTTGCAAACACGGTTTTATGCGGACATATGTTTGCATTACTTTTGCATTAATGCCCAGGACTACAATTTGCTGAGTTGTACGCTAAATGTGTGTTTGATTCTATAGGAATCTGCTAAATATACGTTTCCACCTGCAGTGTACAAGTGACCTAGTTTCTCAGTATTCTTGCCAGCATTTAGTGTTCCCATTGTGTTTTATTGTTCATTATTAGATATTTCTTTTAGACAATCCTCCCCTTCTGAGTATGCATAATTGCTAATCATATTTCTGCTTATAATCTTAGTGTACAAATACTATTTAGAGGCCAGAATCTTAGCATATTATTAAAAGTCCATGTGCATTTATAATCTGCTAATAAGGATAGTCAGGTATACTATTCTATTAAGTTTTCTAGGATGCCTTGAAGACAAAGAACAAGCTTTGCTTCAAGTTGCATCTGCATTTCAACATGGAAGTAAAATCTTTGTAGTTAAACAGATATTAGACCGTTAATAAGTGTGCCATACCTAAATAATTGAAGTACTTATTAAAACTAAAAACTGAAAATTGTCAGTGCTTCCATAGTCAAGTACCAGAATGAATGCAGAATTTCATACAGACTTACTTGATTGTGGAAATATTTTTGTTTGCTACATAACCTGAATTAGTAGGTGGAATTGTTCTAGTTAGGCAGAATAAAATATCAAGTATGCACTATTAGATGATTCATCAAGTACATTTCATGAATAAATGAGAGCTCTTAAACCACTAAGTTTACAGTGGAGTTATATAGCCCTTAATAGATGGTTGTCTTGTTATACCTAGATCAGTTTTCATTTGGGAATAACTGAAATATGGTATAAATGTACCTAATTATGCAAATCATATTTGAAATATATAAACATAAAAGAAATCAGAAGAATACAACCACTAATTTTACCTCAAAATACAGTATTTTAAAGTTTATAAATTCCTTTAAAGTACACTTTAATTTTCAAAAATCCAGTGTAATAGACATATTCTGATACCCATTGTAAAAAGATAATTATGTTGGCACTATATAGAAGAACCTAAAGGAATGAGAACTGAGCCTTGGAGACCAGTTAGGAGACTCATTAATAGTCCATGTAAGAAATAAAGATGGCATAAATGATGGAAAATTGTTTGAATGTACTATTTTGATGCCACTGATAATTTAATGTCAACTCACCCGCATTACCCCTAATCACAAGTCATCCAACCTCCCATTTTCTGAATAGGTATATAATATGCAATGCATGTTCTCACCCTGCCTTTAACTTTACCCCACAGTTACCAGTTTGATTCTTTTTTCTTGATCATCAATCCAATCTAACCCTGATTATGCGTCAAAGAGGCCTTTCACAATGTTATTGGCACATAAAAAAGTGTATTAAAATATTGGAAATCAAATATTTTCTTTTGGCCTCTCATCTGGTATAGTTGTTGTCAGGGGAGAAAAACAAGGGCTATGTTTGACAGATAAATCCAAGAATTATATTTTGTAAGATACATCTACTATAGTGTTCCATAGGTATGTCAGCGTTACCTTGTTCTGTGTACAAGTCACATGCTAAATGTTACCGCACACTAAAATTTGTTTTCCTGAATGCACAGGTACCTCTGTTCTACAGGTGACAGCTACTGATGCAGATGACCCTACCTATGGAAACAGTGCCCGCGTGGTTTACAGTATTCTCCAGGGACAACCCTACTTCTCTGTAGATCCTAAAACAGGTTAGTGCATTTTTGTCTAATTTGTGTGCATGTGTGCTAAAATAAAAGAAAGCAATGTTTTTATTTCTGTGTCTTCTCCTACATCAGACATTGTTGTTTTAGCACATTTTAAAATGTCCTCGCTTTTTCTAACATGATGTAATTGAATAATTGAAGATAAATTCACTGTTTTCCTTAATATTTTGATTATCCATCACTTATACCAGTAAAAAATTTTATCTTTGCATATCCCTGTATCAATTACTTTCTGCTTAAAACAAATATAGAGTGTTAACATCCAGTGAGATTTTCAAGTGTATCATTTGTTGGGTTTACATATTAGGTTTAATTCTTTGTCAAAGATGTTAAATAATTTATTGAGAGTTTCCATACTTTATTTGAATTTGATTGTTACATAAGTTTTTATATGTTACATTGGGGGAACTGTTATGTCTTTTTTTTTTAAAGATTTTATTTATTTGAGAGAGAGAGAATGAGAGAGAGAGAGAGAGAGCACATGAGAAGGAGGAGGGTCAGAGGAAGAAGCAGACTCCCTGCCGAGCAGGGAGCCCAATGTAGGACTTGACCCCGGGACTCCAGGATCATGACCTGAGCCGAAGGCAGTAACTTAACAGATTGAGCCACCCAGGCATCCCTGTTTCCTTGAACTGAGTTTTTTTGCTAATGAGAAAATTCTTCAGTCTTAAATATTGTGTTATGTAAGATAAATTAACTGAGATTAAAGACAAAAAAGACGACCTTTTTTTTTTTTTTGGAAAAGGGAATTCTCTCTTTCCTCTCTTTTTTCTGTCCAAAACAATCATATCATATTATGTGATGTCAAAGAGGGAATGGAAGACACTCAGTAAGGCGTTATAGGATTATGTTCAGCAGCATAATCTAAAAACCCACAGAGAGCTCATGGTCCCATTGGCAAATAATTTGTTAATAAAAAGTTGACTGAACATAAACCCATTTTGAAAGTAGCCAAATGTTCGGTAAGAAATGAGTTTCAAGTTAATTTCAAATATATACATAATCATGAGACACAGATGAAGAGCGAGATCCAGGATATTCCAGAGGTCCCTAGGTCCTTTCTAGTTATGTTAGATTTCATTCTGAATCAGATTAACATGTGGGATTATCAAGTAATGGGCACAGGCACATAACACAGAAGAAAGCCATGTTTTGTTGTAAATATCCCCTTATACTCCCATAAATACCTAGCATACAAAATACTTTTTAACTTCATAAGTTCATAGATTCCAGGTTTGCTTACTATTATCTTAGACAAGGTACACCCAACTGAAAGGATGCTAGCATACTCTCAGTAGTTAATATCATTTGAATGCTAGGAATATTGTCATTATCATGTTTTCAAGAGGAATCCGCCAGCATACTAATCTTCTTTCTTTCCCTGGTGTGCTCCAACACATAAGTGCACTGGACAAGAATAGAGCTCAAGCATACTGCTTAACTTCTAACTATCATAATTTATGAAGAAAATAATGAATATGTATAGATAGGTAAATGAAGAATACGTATATACATACATTATATGCATTATAATTATAAGATAAATTATAGATAATTAAATGAAGTAAAAAATAAAAATCCAGAGATGATAAAAAGTAATATAATGTGAGCTAAAATGAGTATCAGATAGGCAAGTCCTTTTAGTACCAAGATAGAATTAAATATTCAGAAATAAAGATGTTAATTAATATAGTAGTCAAAGCTCTGGGATAAAAATATACATATATTGAGTGCCTGGGTGGCTCAGTTGGTTAAGCGACTACCTTTGGCTCAGGTCATGATCCCAGGGTCCTGGGATCGAGTCCCACATCAGGCTCCCCCTGCTCTGTGGGGAGCCTACTTCTCCCTCCGCCTCTGCCTACCACTCCCCTTGCTTGTGCTCTCTCTCTGTCAAATAAATAAATAAAATCTTTTAAAAAAAATACATATATTGTATACATTGTTATTCTGGTAGGAGAGTTTAGAATTAATTGAAAAAAAACTTTTTATTGAAATATAGCTGACATATTACATTGCATAAATTTAAGGTATACCATATATTTGGTACATTTTTATATTGTAATAATATTGCCATGTGGCCATAAAAAATCTTAGGACAAATGGAAATGACTATTTAATATTGATGTTGCTCATTTTGTTCTATTTTCCCAATAAACATGATAGTTTTATATATGAAATAAAATATTTCTTATTTTATTTATTTTTTTTAAAGATTTTATTTATTCATTTGAGAGAGAGAGAGAGAGATAGTGAGAGAGAAAGCACAAGCAGACTCCCCATTGAGCAGGGAGCCCAACGTGGGGCTCGATCCCAGAACCCTAGGATCATGGCTTCAGCCAAAGACAGACATTTAACCAACTGAGCCACCCAGGCGCCCCTATATTTCTCATTTTAAATATGCATCTCCTGGGTGGCTCAGTCGGTTAAGTGTTTGACTCTTGATTTTGGCTCAGGTCATGATTTCAGGGTCATGAGATCAAGCCCCGCATTGGGCTCCACACTGAGAATGGATCCTGCTTAAGATTCTCTCCCCTTCCCTTGGTCCCTTCTCCCCCTTTCACATTCTCTCTCTCAAAATAAATAAATACATTAATTAAATAAAATGGAAAGAAACAAGGATACTGTGTTTAGAGGAAAGAAACAAGTATACTGTGTTTCAGTTACCACACACACACCCACAAATGTGCAAAACACACATGGCTTCAGTCCATTTACTCCTATGCATAACCAAATACTTATAAGTAAGTATTATATTTACTTAATAGAATATTGCTAATATATAGACATCATATACAGATTTTTTAAAAATTTCCATACACTCTGAATTTGTTAAAAAAGAAATACCAATTCTATATGTATCTGTGTGTCTGAGGGTCTGAGAATGTTTGCATGTGTTTGTTTGAAGACATGCATGCATTTGCATTTGTGTGCATGGGTTCTTTGGATGGATAAAGCACACTACTGAGGACAAGATTTGACTAGCATTGGATTCTGTGATAGTTTGTGCTTTAGTGAAGAAAGTATATCAATAACATAATATTCAAATAAAAATTTCATTTTTATCATAGGTTTATCATAGGTTAATTAAGTACTTCATTAAATAAATAAAAATCATCTGAAACATAAATAAGCTGCTATTCAAATACTGCTCTATGATATTGCCATTACAGTCCTTTGCTCCTTTAAGCAAGATGATTTATTAAATGCAAGTATACCTCTTTGTTGATATGTTTTTAATTTCAATATTATATTGACTGAAGCATCATAAGAATCTATGGATATATGTCCTAAGGTAAAGATTCTTTAAATATGCCAGTCTCTCAGATAGCTGTTTGTAGAAAGCGCTACAAAAAAAATGTTCATTATTCTCTTTAGTAAGACATTTTTGGTAAATTATGCTTAAAAGATATATTATTGTGCAATTAAACATCCTCAGAACTAATGAATTTAGTGGAAATTGTGCTTAAAACGACTGGAATAAAATACAAGTATACTGAAAACTAAAGGGTCAGTTGCTATGGATAAGATGTTATATAAGAAGTGTTGGGATAACGGTTACTTGGAATAGTAACATTTTCATAGTATCAGTTTTCTTCTACCATCTGGTTTGGCATGACTCTATTTCAATATGTCTCCAGTTACTTTCAATGAAGATGAATTATATTGAAGGAACTTTTGTGCTCAAATAGAGTTGTGAGTGCTCATGGTTAAAATCAGGACTTCGGGTTGCCTTGTTTTTATTGTGTTAAAAGATACAGTTGGTACTCACCATAGTTGTCCAAAGATGAGTTGCCCATAAGACCTTGCTTCTTATTATATAAAACATTCATGAATTGCTGTATCAAGAGAAATGAATTATGTTGCTCTTGATTTGCTATACTATTCATAAACTGATTTAATAAGGTCTGTATTGTTTTACACTGAAAATTTGTTAATCAGTATGATCAAAATAAGTCTTGTGAATCATCTATTGTTTTAAATAAGTTTGGTTGAGTTAACTATGTCATGATGTTTGCTTAATGTATAACAACAGAAGAAGAGCGCCCATTAAAAAGTGATATTTTAACATTGTGATGTTAAAGATGCAGAAAACTATGAAAGAATAAACAAAAGGAAATGACAATGAGATATAAAAGATAGAGTATTTCTGTCCAGATTCATGTAGAAAAATATGTTAATGTAAGCTTAATGAGTATAATTCTATTTGAAGATATTGATTTTAATTCAGCAAGAGAACACTTTCAGATTTAGTAAGTGAAGTAACCATTTTCACGTTCATGAAAACATTTAACCCTAAGCAAAGCATGTTGAGGAAGGCCGATGAGTGAGAAAGCCAGGGGGAAAAGAACCAAAGAAATCTGGGCTGATCCTAATCCAGTTAACAGTGTCAACTGCATTAAAAATAAATCAATATATTCCAGGTTTCTATGCCTCTTTAGAACCTATGAAATTTCTGTCAGGTGGTGACAGCAGAAGCTGAATGATTGAGGTGTTTTTAAAAAAAATGAACCACTTCCCTTGACTTAGTTCAAAGACAAAGCCAAAAATCCACCATCTTTAGATGGTCTTTAGAACAGGGTCGGGGGATTACACAAGAGATGGGTGTGCAGTTTTGAATTAAGAATGCAAATCTCTTAATGGCCATGGAGTTTATAGCCCTTTGATAATTCTCTCAGCTTTTTACAGTCAATAATCTATGAATTACTTTGTGTTTGCTTAGTTACTGCATATGTGTTATGTCTGTGCCTATTTCACATAAATTGTTGAATCCTCCTGATGGTAAATTCAGAAAACCTGCAAACCTGGATTATCAACTGATGTCAGGGAAAACAGAGGGATATGCTGGTTTACAAAATTCCAGATGAGCTTTATTTACAATCGATTATAACATTAACAGTGGTGAATTTGACCGTAGTTAATATGAAACATATAAATCAGCAATAGCCAATAATGGCATCTTTGTATCTATATAAATAAGACTCATA